GTGGGCTGTTGTACCTGATCCTGTGAACTAAACCAGCAACAATTCACGCATTCATAGTGCCCACGGAATGCTAGGGAGGTTTTACCAGACCAAATATCAAATGCCTAAAAAAATTCAGAGAATGGATTTAAGGTGTTAAGGTTCCCAAACAACCTTACGTAAATTAAACAGAGAGGAGGCACAGAAGGAACAATTTACTTTCACAACTGCCATGCATGGAACAAATGCCAGAGCTGAATCCTGAGATGTGGCTAACTGAATGGCCTTGCTAGTCTGTAGGCGCACTGTCTCAAAGTTTACAAGTGTATTGTGGCCAGATTCAAGATCCCATAACCTTATTCTCGAATCAGATCCTGGAATTCAAATGCAGAGACTTTTAATTGTAATCTGAAAGTTTAGCAATTATTCATCTTGTGATAACTGATTAGCTAGTTAAATGTAATTAGGAAGAACTACGAACTTAGTATGGTTTCAGTATTCAAAGTAAGAACTAAGCAGTCACCTTAAATATCACCTTATAACAATTATTTAGATGCCAGCTTAGACTTAACCAACATAAATTCTTCATCAAGACATTTTTTGTGCCCACTAACCAGTATAAAGTATGAACTAAATCTAATTTAAGATAAGACTATGAAATATTCTAACAAGAACTTTAAAAACCAAGCAAAACTCAACTTGCACTTAAAAGATACATGCCATCCTCAGTAACCTTCAAACCAGTTACAATACCATAATGAGCAGTGGCACGGTCCTGACTAGACAGCATCCCTGGATGTAATCTTTGCCTGACAGATCCCTTAGCTGGCATTCGAGAAATGGTTGAGTGTTTTGGGCCATGCCCATTAGCATGTTTCTTATGTGGTGCTCGTGACCTTGTTAATGAGTTCTGACCAGTTGACAAAGACTGAATAAAAGCATATCTTATTACTTGAAAGCAAGAAAGAAATAGAATGATAAAAAGCAAAAAAGTCAATGAAAGGAAGAGTTCAGCATTAACATTAACTGAATGTTGCTAACCATACCTTATCACTTTAAGCAATTGTACTTTAAATTGAAAGTAGGTGAAACAATGAAAAAAGGTAGGGACATGAAAGTATGGACCTCCAGACAAAAGGAAAAACCTTACATGCAATTCTTTAAGTGCTTCAAGGTCCATAGCCTACAACTTTAGTATACATAAACTTGTCAAGTCATTCTCTAGAAGACAGTAAAATTTAGCATGAATTTCAACTTCTACACAAGTTTTATATTGTAAAATTTACACGTATATTGAAAAGAAACAAGGGTCATTAACTAGATAACAGTTTAAAATACATCAAGTAAATTTCAACTTACGTATAATAATGAATAAAATTAAAACTAAAAATTAACAAGCCAACCATTTCATCTATAGTTCCGTATCTAATTGTACATCATCATATACTTCAAGGCTAATAATGAATAAAATTAAAACTAAAAATTAAAAGTAAGAAGTCAATTTCTAAAACAAAGGATTATCTACTGCTTTATTTTTTATTCATTTGATGATTAGGCAATGCATTAGAAAATATACTTCCTAACTTTTATTCATTTTACTGAACTTCATCTATGACTTCAACAACAAGTTGAAGTGATGACAAGGTATCTCTTAGTAAAAGAAGTTCAAGAATTTCATTGTTGCAATCAATATCTAAATGAATCCTCTAAGATTACAGAGAGAGGTAGCAAACATACTTTAACCTCAAATGGGTGAATTAGGTGAACAAAATTCCAAGGAATACATATCAAAAACAAAATGTCAACAAAATGAGATGTTGATATATATATATACACTTATGTGGTGTCTAACTAAATATTCAATTACCTGATAGGTTTAGTTGCCAAGGTGCTTCCACCTGATATCAATAGCAAGCAAAGATACTGCATAACATTCTGTCCTTGACTTGAAAAATCGCTAAGATCTTGTGTTGCAAGCAGCACAAGAATGCTGATTAAAAAAATGGGAGAAAGCACACATAAACATAGGTTGCAAGAAATCCAATTCCTTAAAGCAAAGAAATAGTTAGGTAGCATTTGATTGGATTAAATATAGATTCATATATAGCATCATGAAAAAGGAAGAAAGAAGGGGAGGGGGGGTTGGGAATGCTTCAAAAAAAATATAGCAAGACATGATTTTTCAGCATTCAAGTTCAGCATGCTCTCTAAGGTAAAATAAGTTAAATAACAGAATAAGAAATTTACAAACAAACGGCACATAAGTATTAAACCAATAACCAAAACTTCTAAACACATTATTACATTGTCCAGGGCATCCTAAAGTTGGATAGGTACAATGGCCCACAGAACACGTCCTTAAAGCAAAGAAATAGTTAGGTAGCATTTGATTGGATTAAATATAGATTCATATATAGCATCCTGAGAAGGAAGAAAGAAGGGGGGGTTGGGAATGCTTCAAAAAAATACAGCAAGACATGATTTTCCAGCATTCAAGTTCAGCATGCTCTCTAAGGTAAAATAAGTTAAATAGCAGAATAAGAAATTTAAAAACAAAAGGCACATAAGTATTAAACCAATAATCAAAACTTCTAAACACATTATTACATTGTCCAGGGCATCCTAAAGTTGGATGGGTACAATGGCCCACAGAACACGTCATTAAAGCAAAGAAATAGTTAGGTAGCATTTGATTGGATGCTCATTATGTTTGCCATACGGTTTCTTTTAATTACTTGGATGCTCCTCAGTTTTTTTACTTTTTTCAGTATTGTTCAATTTGTTGGTCGTCTATCTTTCTATTATTGTTTTTGAATTCTAACCCATTTCAAATATTTAAATAATCTAATGGGGCACTAATATTCATCTTTTG